TTTCCTCCCGGCGTCGAATCAATCATAAAAAAATATACATGTCGCAGCGTTGCATTTTGAGCGACAAAAAAAACGAGAGTCTACAATGAACGTTTCTTTATACGTCACGTACTGCTGCAACGTGCATCCCTTTATTCTCCTTTTTTTCCCCATGCTCTTTAAATAGATCTTCGAAGCTGAAACACATTTTATACCGACGCGATCCGGCCCGAACTTTCTCGCGCTTTGAAAAATAGCGTGACGTACGGTAAAATGGATTTACTTGCGCGCCGTTAACCAGGAAAAAGATTCGGAATTCTTACCGGAGATGCAAGATACTCACGCGTCCCTGTACTCGACGTCATTATTCGTTTCCAACGTTAACACCCTCGCATTGTTTTCCCTCGAGTAGAGAGCAACGTGCTCGCCGAGCAGGGGCTCGTAGAATGCCTGAGAATTGTTGTACCTGTATCTGGAGGAACAGACATCGCGAAGTTTAAATTTACATTTAAAGTCCGCCATATGAAGACTGACACGGAACGCATAATATATGATAATCCCGGCCGGCGGGGGAATTTCCTTTACACGTGTCTAAATTATAGCGCGTTTGCCAACAATATGTGCTCTTTTATCATTTTCTTCGTGCGCGCGAATGTACTTTCATAAAGCGGAAAATATACGGGGGAGCAGAAGTGCTTGGAAAAATGTCTTAATAAGAGCGCGGTCGTTACGTCGATTATATTATATATTTCGGTTAATTTACAAAATATACGTCCAATTTTTTTAATTACATTAAGCCCTTTAAACGCGCGAGAAACCACCTTAATATGATCAAAATCAGTCGTCCGATGACTTAATAAAAGATTCCGTGCACAATAAATTAAAAATATGTAATTTTCTCTAGAAGACAACTTGAATTAATATAACGCACGTTTATCGTCGCAATTCGAGTCTATTTTATAAGATTAATAAAATCGAAAGGCTTGGCGAATATTATTTTGACGATGACGAAGCTTTTTGATTTGATCATCGTCAAACTGAAAGCGATCCGTTTGGTTTGACCGAAAATACACCGAGCAGACGGCACAGAATGAAAAAATCATTGTATTTAAAAATACGTTACACGAAAATGATTCGCGTCCTCGTTTACATCGACGATCGTCGCTTAGCGCCTCGAGAGAAACTCACCTATCAAAGGAATCGCCAAGAGACCCCTTTTGATGCAGCTGATGACTGGCGCAGGGTAATGGATGTGGCGGGACGGTAACGTCGGAGGTGCGATAAGCTATGCTGTGATAGAGCGGCGACGTGTCTTCATTTTTATTCAAATACCTGCCCGTCGGCTCGATATAGTACTCCTCAAATCTGGTCACGACACTGCCATCGAAGAGACCGTCCTGCGTAACGATGCCCTGCACCACGGCGCTCTCGTCCTCTGTAAAGGGAACAGGGCGCGACGCCGGTTAATAAAGAGCCAGTAATCGAATTTATCGGGAGAGAAAGGGGATCGTTTGCATCACATAGATTCAATCATCATGTAACTGGCGATTTTCAACATCCTCCTCCATCGTGAGAATATTTAAACTCGTGGGTAATTAATGTGCTATATAGAGGAAAGTTCTCTATTATGAGACAGCAGGTTTTCAACACCCAAATTCAATCGCAAATCCTTTTGCGCAACGACTACGCAATGCAACAATGAATTTTCCACTAAACAGATTTCGCTCCAAGAGCAATAAATTCATGGTGGAATCGACTGATGATGCCTATTAATTTAGCAGAAACTCCGCTATCTCACAATTAGAGGTCTATCTCATAATAGGGGACTTTCCTCTACAGGGTGAGTCTTTCTATATCCGACAAAATTTTTGAGAAGGTAGAACGGATCGAGATGAACGGAAAAGTCCTGTACCATTTTGCAATTTTCGTAATAGTTAACGAGTAATTAATTATTAAAAATCGTTGTCTTAGGCCGGCCTACCGCCCAATTTGAGCTCGTGGCAAGATGTGACCGCCCGGCGATCGATATTGCTATGCGCACATCTCGCCACGCGCTCGAATTGGGCGGTAGGCCGGCCTAAGACGATTTTTCATAATTAATTACTCGTTAACTATTACGAAAATTGCAAAATGGTACAGGACTTTTCCGTTCATCTCGATCCGTTCTACCTTCTCAAAAATTTTGTCGGATATGGAAAGACTCACCCTGTATACAGGGTGTTACGTAATACCCGCCTCACGTCTTATTTGCGGATAGAGCGAAGTAGACTAAGTCGAAAAGTCCCCTACCATTGTGCAATTTTCGAAATAGTTCGCGAGTTATTAATTATTAAAAATCGATGTCTTAGCCCGGCCCACCCAGCGAGAAATGACTCGTCCAGCGATGTTAATAAACATTTCGGTTTATTATATTATAGAAATAGATAACAAAAATTCACATCGGTTTTGTTTCCAAGCTAGCCGCACGAGAGACAGATTGTGCGATAAATTCGAGATACGTGCACGTTAATAGTATTTTTCCGCGACAATCTGCCGTATTTTAATAACGCTCGTAAGAATTGAAATTGCTAAACTCATTATCAATAGTTTCCGCAGAGATGAATTCGCGTTGAATGTGCGGCGGTATAACCCCGCAGCTACCTTTTAAATCTGCGAAAATACGAGGGCGAATCGCGGCGGCAGAAGACTCGTTCCCACGGTGCATATAAAGTTACCGTCGGGGTTAATTATATTTGTAGAAGCCTTCGTTCCCCGTGTCGCCCGTGCTTTCATTATTTCTTATGAAATTTTTGCGACTTCGCCCAAGTTAGCGGAGGCACGCAAGCGAGAAAGGGAAGAGGTTTCGGTATGGTAACTTTTCGGACGGAATTAGAAAGGATTGCCAGGTATTTAGGATCCGGGGACGAGCCATAACTTCGTTTCGTTTCGCTTCGCGCCGTGCAAATTCCATCCGGGCGGTTCAACTTCCTGAACGAAACGACAGATTTCCGCGGAAAATTCTTGAAATCGAAGTTTGCCGTCACGGCGACGGGCAAGAAATTCCTTCTATTTGCTTTATCGCTGCCGCTAATGCGCGACGTAGCTTTGCGTAATTTAAACATAAAATGTGTGCAAATCTTGTGCAAATAATATAGATTAATTGAACCGGTAAGTAGGCAGTAGAATAACATTGTTAAATTACTAAATCTCTAAGTGAAACTCCATTCTAAGTAAACATATTAGTCTCTTAATACATCGACGTAAAACATTTCATTTCCAGAGCTTAGACATTTGAATGCAAAGTTTGATCCAAGATCAGTTTTACTCGGCTCTATTTATTATTCTTCTTCTTTTATTCTACTCCATTTTTCGTTCTCTCTCTCCTCTCCTCTCTCTGGGACACAGAGGACAGATCAGGTACGACAATAACAGAAAGATTGGAATTCACCTGGAAAAAGCGGTGTGTACTAGAACTGTCGTTCAATATGCGTGCACCTCTGCGTGCACCCGCTTCCGGTACAATTTTATAAAGACGTCGCAGATTGAGGGACGGCGGTGAAACTTGAGTGGAAGACGCCCCGGAAAATCATGATCTTCGAGAATCGAGTCTCTTGGCTCGGGAAGCGAGTTTCCCCGGGTAAAACGTGGGTGGATTCTAGGAATTCCAATCGTCAATCATAGACGATATTCCGGGCTATCGCTGGAGGAAAGATAAATCGACTAAAGTGCTATCGCGAAGTCGGAGAAATTTACGGCCGCGTGTTACTTCCTACAAGTAATTGTTTGGATCCCTTTGCTTGTTGGCGCGCGCGGTCGATCCGTAAATTCACCCTTCATGGTAATCGATACCCTATCCGCCCCGATAAAAGGGACAATCAACAGAAAGGTTTTATATCGCGGGGCAATTTAGCCGCGGGCGCAAAAGGAAACAATTTGCGCGTGAATAAAAAAAGGATACAAAGGGACACGTTAGACGTAACAGGCTAATCTATCATTTAAGCTCATCACTCTTTCTATTTACTCTTTTAGAACAGATTGTAACTTGATGTTGCAGAAACTGAATATCGATCTAGCAAGAAAATTCGAGTCACATCACGAAAGAAATTTTAATTCGAACCGAAAATAGAAATATGAAATTGAACAAATGTGGAAATAAAGAACGAGACATTAAATAAAACATTATTTCAGGGATAAAACGTTACCGAAACAAATTTAATTTATTTTACAAATTTAATAGAATATCGTTATATCAATTTGTCAATAAATAATTTTGACTCTGCACTTGAATTTGCAGATTTTATTTCGTTTATATAAGCAATTTCAACAAAAATTAACAACAAACTTGTAAAATTTTTAATATCTGATGCGTTATTTATTTGCGATATAAAACTTCTTCTTTTAAAATGAAGTAAATAAAAACGAGATTTAATATTGAAATGTTTTCTATTTCTTTGTAGAGATAAAAATTCATTATTTTATGTGAAGTGTAATTTTTATATGAGGTATATACAGGGTGGGCCATTTTAATTTATACAGTCGATTTTTTAAAAAACTAAAAGAGATATGAAAAAATGTTTCAGACAAAAGTTGTATGGTTTCGAGGGGG